TGTCGTTTCCCGTTGCGGTTCCGGATCATCCTTACAACAACTACAACACCCATTTTGTGCTACTACAGGTACACGACGTGAATGTTCTTCTGCTTTAACACTCTTCTTAACATCAGAAGTATAATAAATATTGATAACATCTTCGACTGGAATCATAAGAACAGTTTCATCTGAGGCCAAATGTTCTTCTTTTGCTTTAGATACAGGATCAAACTGTTTATTATGCTTCTTTTTGTTCGAAAGCTGTGCCGTTGCATAATCAACATCAGTTTTCTGTGATGAATGATAGTACGTATGAATAGAAAGCATTGGACATGTATACGTCTGATGGGGTGTTGGGGCACCTAAAAAGATTAAAACGTGTTATGTCAAACTATATCACATCTACTCTAAATTTCAGCACATTGTGATAAATAGTTTTGTAAAATCAGTCGAAAGAGCAGTGAATGTTTTGACGAAACTAAAACAAGCTCGATGGTGAGTAGTCGTTTCTTATCAGAATTCTTTGCGTCTTTCACTATTCTTCAAGATAATATCTACCTGGATAAATGAACACATAGCCATAGGGTGTTTCTGTTGCAACTACATTTTGTGTTTGCACGACAGCCACTGCAGCATCATAAATTTGCGTTTTCTTACAACACCCGCTTCCCATTTTTGTTTCTTTTTGCTCTATGAAAGTAAATGATAGTGATATATTTATTAACAGTCGCTGATATATGTTTATGCATTCTTTACTCAACGTATCAATCTGTTATCAACTTTACACATTCGATTTATTCCGCGAAAACGAAAAACAAAAAAAAAACAATTATTCAAGCGGCGATAAAAACGTGATGGATGTCATTACAAGGATTATTTTTGTAAGATGGCGTTACATTTCTGGTAGCGTTGATATGAAAGGAGACAACGCGCAGGTACTTTAATTATTTGTTGTGAGGTTCACTTTAAAAATATGATTTTTGTTGGATGTCTCATATATGCCCCTCGAAACTATACCCTTGCACAAAAGTCTCTCTCCTCCTCATTTCTTTGCTGTCATACTTTACATAAAATTTATTGCCGAGTAGAGATATGACTTAAGAGTTTTATTTCAATATGTTATTACAATACAATAAAACTTTCAAGGTATATTTCTACTCGACAATAAATTTTATACAAAGTTAAAGCTGTCAAGTCACATATCTACTTGGCAATAAATTTTATGCAAATTATGAGAGCACAGAAATAAAAAAGGGAGGAAAGACTTTTGTTCATGGGTGTATCTCATATTTAGATCCATTTTTCTATAAAAATTGTTTTTCAAAAGAATTTGAGATTTTTTCGCTGTTTTTTTGTCTGTTTCACCGGAATTTTTTCGGTACAGCATGTGACTTCAATCGATTAGTTTACCGACGAGTCTAGTTTATCATTTTATAAAAAATATAGAAGTATCATAGATGACATCACATGTCGCAAATTTGTAGAGAATATAATAAAATGACTTTCTATAAAAGAAATGTTTTTCGAAGTTGAATTATAAATGACAAACATGCCAAATCCTGAGAGGCTTATTTAATATAAGCTGCACGTTATTTTTATCAATACTTTCTCTAGCAATTTATTAATTTTAGTATTACCATAGCAAATAATACTCGTTCTATGATGCACATAATATATATCAATTAGAACGATTCTTTATGAATATTGTTTTTTCTTTCATCACAATTGTTTGATTATCGTATATTGATCGGAGGATGTTTCCAGAAATGAAAAAACAAAAAAAGCAAACTTCTAAAATTAGTAGAAAAATCGATGGTGAAGATACTTTAGAAACCCATTTTTAATGATCAAATATGGACCATTGAAAAAGCACGATTAATATATAACTCCACCACATACATTTGCGAAAGAAAACGTTGAAGGATCTCTGATAAAAATAAAACAGAAGAGAAATAATTTAATCATGAAAACGTATGATCTTTACATATCATGCTCATCAAACATGTTCTATCATGCAAAAATGACAGATAAAAGCGCTCATTTTATTCTCTAATAATTTTATTCCTCCTCAATCTATTCATGTAATACATCAAAAGTTTTTCAGAATTTTTACATGTATGCACTAGAGATATTTAAAGAAAATTGTATCATATTATGATAAGTGAGCAACAGGTTGTGTGCCAAGTATTGTTCGACCGATTCTTGGTTCTATTGTTATTGTTCTTAGAGGAACAACTTGACTTAGATGTCGCCAACAAAGAAACGTGTCTTTCATTTTACTTCGCAATTCAGATAATGATGCCAGACAAATAAATGGATATAAATACATTACATAATTACGAAGAGTAAGTGCTACAATTAAAGGTGTATCTAAATTATATTGCAATAAATTATTTTTCACAATAAAAACCAAGATTGCCCATGGAGCATCACAAATCAAATAGAAAACTGATGTAAAAATCATTTGAATCATCATTTTGCGATGTTTTTGCCATTGAATTGGTTGATTTAATCTCTGTTTTTGTAATATAACACGTACAATCAATGCAACACTAAGAATAGCAATTAACAAGATGACAATTATATGATGAAGTAGTATGTCTACTGTTGCTATAATTGCAATATTTAATGCACAAGGACTGGGTGGAATTCCAGGTATAATATTAAGTTGTGAACTACCACAAAATGGATTAAAGGTGATTAATATATAGAAGAGTAGACTATAAATGAGTAGTAACATAGGTGGCATATAATGAACATAGAATCGTTTCTTTCTGGTTGAAATCCATTGATTATGAAAGATGAGTATGTGTCTTTCGATATTGGCCCAAAGAACTAATATAATCTGAATACTATACAGACCGTAATCACAGAAATATGAGAAAAGAAAATAAAATCCCATTGGTAACATAAAATGATCAGAAGCAAATCCATAAAAGGTAGTACCAAGGAATTCTAGTATACGTAGAATAATAAGAATGAGAAGAAGAATGATGATATGATTGTTAAGAGCAGAACGAAGTGTTCGATAAAAAAGAAGGCAATAAAGAACCAATAGTGAGCAAAGAACGCATATTATACTTGAAGCAAAAGCAATCCAAAAATCAATTGGGTATGACATTAGAACTTAGATGTAAGGATCAAAGTTGTTCACAAGTAATAATCGACTTCAATGTGTCTGTGTTGAATATTCAGAGTAGATGAATGCAGAAAATACTAGAGTTTCCCTTCAGTTAGAGATGGAAGAATTTTTTTTCTAAATTAATTCATGTATGTTTGATTCTTCCTCTATGATATAAATAGGACAAATCCACTCAAGCACACAACAATTTTGCACTAGCTTATATTTAGCACGATAATCATCACGTTCTTTTTTTTATCCACTTTCACACAAAAAAAATAGTTGCCTGTTTGTTTGTATTTTTTGAACGTTCATAGCTGTCGTCAATCGGGAACCACGAGTGTCATCGTACACTCAATTTCTGTATCTGGTTCTAGAAAAATAGGGATCTATATATCCTGCTTCATAATTATACTTAGCCAGATTTGCTACAGATAGAATAGGAGCAGACATTCAACTGATCACTGTTTTTCATGTTGAAACAATCCTAAACAGACAAAAAAATAAATTAATCTTGTACGACTAAAATTAGTTTCAATTTGATTACTCAGATAGATCTAAACAGATAAAAATATTAACTTATTTAATAAATTTAAACATATCATTGAATTCATTATTGGCACATATATACAAATACATAAGGAGGGTGTGGGTGTGACTATTTTTTACCCACCTACACCCACACCCACACCCTTATATCATTTACTAATGATATGTCACTATATTGCGATGAAAAAGTTTTTGAGTGTTGATATTAGAGAAATTTACTCTATCTGTTTTGTAATTGTAGTATTTTTTGTTTTACACTAATTTAAGATAAATTTAGATATTTGAATGTGATCAGAGGATGATGATGACGATACCCACATTACTAAAACAGTATATTATTTCTTTACATCTGTAAAAACACAAAATAATAAATATAATATTCTCATTATAAAGTGACTCATTTTATTGATAATTAAAAAATTTCAGAATAGAATAAATGTATATAAAATCCATGTGGCATGTTTCTATAAAGAATTACTTTACTCTTGAAAAGAAATAGAGAATCATGATATATGTTAAATGTTTTCTTTGATGCATGATATTAAAATAATATTCAAATAGTTATTTTTGTTTGTCTCAAGGGAAAAATCTATTAAATTTTTTTTCCTTCTTCAAAACTTATTACTGAACACTATTGATTATAAAAATAAGTTGCAACAATAACATACACATCATATGTTTTTAGAAAAAAAAAGACTATTCTTTTCAAGCAATATCGTAGGTAAAAACAATAAAAAGATATAGTCTTACTAGAAAGATACCCGACGTATTAAAAAGCTTTTCAGTTCAAATTTTATCCACAAGTAGGAAGTATACAGACTTGGAAAAGTCTAAAAGAATATTTTAAAAACATTATATCTCAATAATAGTTAGTCTAAAAATTCTGAAACTTTGATTTTGTTGAGAAAATAGGGTTCGATAGAAATATTCTCGTAAAAAGTCGATATCTAAGCCAAATTACTCCTTACTGATAGACAAAATTTGAGCAGAAAAAGTTTTTATAGCATTTCGAGTGGTTCCCTGGTTGCACTATTTATCTCATGAATGTATGATATTCATAAATATTAGTTTTATTTTTAGCTTGCTAATGACAAGAATATAAATGATATTTTCCATAATATATGATATTGTCACTTGAAACATTTTTAAGTTGATTATTCATCCAGAAATTAAATAATAACTTTCAATTTCAGAGTTTTAAATGAATTTTTATAATAATAGAGCACCTAGATAAATTAATCGATATTTTTTATTCGCTCATACATGAATATCAGAGTTGTAGAGAGAGAGCCACAATTAATATGAAACTATAAACTAATTTTAAATAAGATTTTTTAAGTAATTTATGTGAACAAATTATTTATTTCATTCTTTATATTATTTAGCTAATAGTCACAATGTTGAACTTATATTTCAAACAAATATGGTTGATAACTTTATTTTTAACAATGTATGTAATATCTCATTCAATAAATGATCGATACTAACAAATATTTTAATTTAGATTTTTATTTGAAGAATATCTAGCTCAAACTATTTGTCCAAACATGACTTGGTCACCTGATGGAATAACAATTGCTGGTTCATCATTAGGCTTGTCAAACAACACTGCCGCATATCTTAATATGCCGCAAGACGTATTCATTGATCAGAATGGTACTCTCTATGTCCTAGACAGTGGAAATCTTCGGGTGCAACGTTTTTTTTCCAATTCGACTATTGGAACAACGATCATCGATGGAACTTTTGGTTATAAGCTCAATCAATTCTATACTAGTAATTCTATCTTTTCATAACTAATATTTAGATTTTTTGACGTTTATTTAATTATTTCAGTGGATGGCATTAGTGTAGATCTTAGTGGAAATATTTATATTCTTGATCATGGAAATGAACGTGTAACTAAATGGATACCTGGTGCAATCAATGGAATAGTCGTCGCTGGTGGAAATGATATGGGTAGTCGTAGTAATCAACTATATCTTCCTTATGGATTTTTTATGGATCCCATTACATTATTTATTTGGATTGCTGATACATATAATAATCGCATCGTTCGATGGGAATCTCCATCAACAGGTATTATTGTTTGTGGAAGTAATGGAACAAGATCGGACCAATTTTACTCACCATTCGGACTATTTGTTGATACAATTAATTCGAACACGATTTATGTTGCAGATTCATTTAATCATCGAATTCAAATGTGGTTACAAGGAGCAACTAACGGCACAACAGTAGCTGGCCAAACAAGTGTTTGTGGTTCAGGGCTTAACCAACTATGTTTTCCATCGTCAGTCATTAAAGACAATAATGGGAATATATATATTACAGATCATTCGAACTGTCGTATTATGCGATGGAAGATAGGATCAACTTCTGGTACGATGATAGCTGGAATCATATATTATGGAACATTGCCAAATCAATTGTATTATCCATTCAATGTTAAATTTGATC